ATTGTTCTGCCCAAGCCGCTCTACTGTTTAGTCCCTGCCAGTGCAGCTACAGTAAAATGCGGTCTACATGTCCGGAGATAGAGCAGAAATCCTCCTGGGACATCTCCACGAAGCTCTCCTGGAGGTAATTGGAAAGCCTTTACATCAGGTTCCTGGGAAGAGCGGCCTTGTTGGGTCCTCCGTGGTATGAAACGTTTCCGCGCCAGGAGACAATCAAGTACTCCGGGATCATTGCCCTGCAGAGCATGGCGGCATACGGCCCTGGTCTTTGCAGGCTTTCCCGAAGCATTCTTTCTTTATCAGTGTCTGAGATCCTCATCAGGGTGATGTCGCTCATGGTGACCTGCTTTGAATTAGGTAGGGGAATGTTAGTATTGGGACTGCTTGCCCGTTCCTTTACAGAACTGTAACCGCCAGTTTACAGCCACGCGGTGGAGGCGGGAGAGGGGCGGCATACAGGGATCTTTCCCTGGGACAGCCGCGAGGGGGTGGGACAGGGGCGGAGTTCATGCTTGCCGGATTGCTGGCAGCAGGGACTGGCATTGCTTTCAATGTGAAAGGAGGCCAGTGCTACTATTAAAGTTTTAAGCAGCCACAAGTCTACGGCTTACCATGTCTGCCTGCTACACAAATTCCGGTGTCCTGCCCCGCTTCTCAGATCTGCAGTGCAAGACCCCAGGCACTGAATGCGAGGGCTGAAAATTCGACCTTGCCTGAGTGCGCATGTGATAGGTTAGGTGCTGTGCATGGTCTTGTTCACAGAGAAAGACTATGTTCTTTGTTCACAACTACATTTATCTTTCTGAGGAATTCACTCCCTTTTTCCCATTCCCACAGTCACATCTGCGACTGTCTCCCAACCCAGCCTGGCATCACACTCCCAGAGGCTAGCGCAGATTAGGCGTAGGAAGAAGAGGACGCGGGAGGACATGTTCTCGGAACTTATGGGCTGCTCCCGAGCCCAGGCAGCACAGCAGACCCAGTGGAGGGAGAACTTGTCCCAAATGCACCGAGCACACATGGAACGGGAGGAGAGGTGGCGGCAGGAAGACCAGCAGGCGACTCAAACGCTGCTTGGACTAATGAGGGAGCAAACGGACACGCTCCGGCGCCTTGTGGATGTTCTGCAGGAACGGAGGCAGGAGGACAGAGCCCCGCTGCAGTCTATCTGTAACCGCCCTCCCCCGCCACCAAGTCCCATACCCCCCTCACCCAAAGTCCAAAGAAGGAGGGGCGGCAGAGTCCGTGAAAACTCTCACTCCACCCCTGCAGACTGCTCTACTACTAGAAGGCTCTCATTCCCCAAAATTTGACAAGTCCTTTCCTTCCCGCCTCACACAAGCCCCCGTCCAAGTTTCACCCCCCAGTTTCATGTGTGGTTGCTAATAAAATATACGTTTCTGTTAATTACTGTTTCCATCATGTTCTTTTGTAGGAGAGTCTGTCTGAAGGGGGGGGAAGGGGGTTGGTAATTGGACAGGACAGTCACCTTTAGCAGGGTACAGAGGCGGGGGCAGGTCCAGCAGCAGGGCACATACACAGTGCAGTGACTAGTTACCTTGGTCAGTCTGGGAGGTGGTTTTCATGTTCTGTGGGGGGAGGGGGGTTGCTCTGTGACTTTGTGGCGGGGGAGGGCAGTTACAGATCTTATGCAGCGGTCCTTATCCTGGATCACAGAGCCACGCAGCAGGGGATCTGTAACCGTCCTCCCCCTGCCACAAAGTCACATAGCCCCCACATACACGCAGTCCCGATCAGGAGGGGTGGCAGGCTCCGTTGAAACAACCAGTCCACCACTGCGGAGCCTGTCATTCCTGGAGTTTAGAAGCGTCATTTGCATCAGTACACTACACCCGCTCCCCACCACAGTCTGCGTCCCAGGTTTAAAACATTCCCGCGAAAACAGTAATAAAGAAAACGGTGTTCATTAACAAAATAGAAGTGATTTTATTTTTAAACGTGTGTTGGAAGGGGGTGAAGGGGGTATGTAACTGGAGAGGATAGTCAACATTAACTGGGTAAAGAAACAGGGGCAGGTTCAGCTTCTCTGTACACAAACTTAAAGTCACAGGTTACCCTGCTCACTCAGGAACCTAGCTTTCAGAGCCTCCCGGATGCACAGCGCGTCCCGCTGGGCTCTTCTAATCGCCCGGCTGTCTGGCTGGGCGTAATCAGAAGCCAGGCTATTTGCCTCAACCTCCCACCCCACCATAAAGGTCTCCCCCTTGCTCTCACAGAGATTGTGGAGCACACAGCAAGCTGCTATAACAATGGGGATATTGGTTTCGCTGAGATAACAGCGAGTCAGTAAGCTTCTCCATCTCCCCTTGAGATGGCCAAAAGCACACTCCACCACCATTCTGCACTTGCTCAGGCGGTAGTTGAAGAGTTCTTTTTCAGTGTCCAGGGCGCCAGTATAGGGCTTCATGAGCCAGGGCATTAGCGGGTAGGCTGGGTCCCCGAGGATCACTATAGGTATCTCCACATCCCCAACAGTTATTTTGTGGTCCGGGAAGTAAATACCTTCCTGCAGCCGTCTAAACAGACCAGAGTTCCTGAAAACGCGTGCGTCATGAACCTTGCCCGGCCATCCGACGTTGATGTTGGTAAAACATCCCCTATGGTCCACCAGTGCTTGCAGCACCATTGAAAAGTAGCCCTTTCGGTTGATGTACTGGCTGGCCTGGTGGTCTGGTCCCAGGATAGGGATGTGAGTTCCATCTATAGCCCCACCGCAGTTTGGGAATCCCATCGCGGCGAAGCCATCTATGATGGCCTGCGCGTTTCCCAGGGTCACTACCTTTGAGAGCAGTACCTCAACGATTGCGTTGGCTACTTGCATCACAACAACCCCCACGGTAGATTTGCCCACGCCAAAGTGGTTCGCGACTGACCGGTAGCTGTCCGGCGTTGCAAGCTTCCAGAGGGCTATGGCCACTCGCTTCTGGACAGTCAGGGCTGCTCGCATCCGGGTGTCATCGCGCTTCAGGGCAGGGGACAGCAACTCACAAAGTTCAAGGAAAGTCCCCTTCCGCATGCGAAAGTTTCGCAGCCACTGGGATTCATCCCAGACCTGCAGCACTATGCGGTCCCACCAGTCCGTGCTTGTTTCCCGGGCCCAGAATCGCCGTTCCACAACATCCACATGACCCATTGCCAACGTGATGTCCTGGGCGCTGGGTCCCGTGCTTTCTGACAGGCCTGTGCTACTCTCAGACTTCAGGCCCTCACCGCGGTGCCGTAGCCTCCTCGCCTGATTTATCTGCATCTGCCTCTGGGAAAGGTGGATGATAAGCTGCGAGGCGTTGACAACGGCCACAACTGCAGCGATGGTCGCAGCGGGCTCCATGCTCGCAGTGCTGTGGCGTCCGCGCTGTCACTGACCAGAAAAGTGCGCAAACTGATTTCCCGCCGGCGCTTTCAGGGAGGGAGGGCGGGAGTGACGGACGGATGACGACAGTTACCCAAAAGCACCCTCGACACATTTTTTTACCCAGAAGGCATTGGCGGCTCGACCCTGAATTCCAGTGGCCAGCGGGATAGCTGCCCACAGTGCACCGCTTCCAATGTCGACGCTTTCCCTGTTAGTGTGGACTCACAAACTCGAATTACTGTCCTTAGTGTGGACACACACGTTCGACTTTGCAATATCGATTCCACATATTCGATTTAAGTAAAATCGAACTACTCTCGTAGTGTAGACATACCCTGAGAGTAAGAGGGTGTGCTGCTGGAGGACTGAGTACAAGCGTTATCAGACATCAGGAGGAAGGTCCTGTGGTGAGAATAAGGAAGGTGTTTGGAGGAGGCCATGGGGAAGTAGCCCAGGGAGTTGTAGCTGTCATGCAGCTGTTACAGGAGGCATTATAGACAAATGCAATCCACAGGGCCCTGGCCAGGAACCCAGAGTAGAGGGCTGGCCTAGGTTCCCCCCAAACCTCCCAATTGACCTGGACTGTGGGTTCTTCCAGAGGGGAAGGTCTCTGGGCTGTTCCCCAACCCACATGGTGAATTTTTGAGGCAAGAAAATCCGCCAATAAGCGCAGGACCCACCAAGATAGAGGAGGAACTTTGTCACAACTGCCAGTATTAGATTGGGAATTGTAGAGGGAAAGCTATGTCTCTGAAGTTCTCAACTGCAAAATTTAGCATATACAGTATATAATATAAGGACATAAGATGGTTAAGTGAGTTTAATTAAACCATTATCTTCACATTGTATGCTATGACTTTATGGAAATTCAGGTTGCTTTGCTATAATATGGATTCAACAAATTACACAGAAAAATAAAGATGGACATATAAGGATTGACAGAATATTGAATTTAACATTGGGTGTTGAAATTATCAAGAAATAATAATTCAAAATATTTTATCAAATCAGTGTTATTATAAATAGGTACTCACTTTAATTCTAAAATATTCTGGGTAAGCAATTTTGGTATCAGTACTGAGCTATATAGCCCCAGTTCAGAATCTTCTCTATTTGCCAATTAGGCTTCTATGTCAGTTTCACTTACACTACTTATTTATTTCTTCAAATGTTTATAGTATAATTATAGGTCCTCTGTCTATGGATGTCAATTAAGCTTTATGGAACTGTCCAACCAAAAGTACATTCAAATCTGGAAATTTAAGGATTTAAGTAAGTAAATAATTAGAGCTGTCAATTAATTGCAGTTAACTCATGCGATTAACTCAAAAAAATTAGTCGCAATTAATCTCAGTTTTAATAGCACTGTTAAATTTCAATTGGTATTCTATTATTTATTAAATATTTTCGATAGTTTTCTACATTTTCATATATATTGTATTCTGTGTTGTAAATGAAATCAGTGTATATTATTTTTATTACAAATATTTGCACTGTAAAAATGATAAACAAAAGAAATAGTATTTTTCAATTCATCACATACAAGCAGGGCCGGCGCAACCCATTAGGCAACCTAGGCGGTCGCCTAGGACACTAACATTTGGGGGGCAGCGACCACGGTGGCCAGATCTTCGGCCGCCCCGGTTGTCGGCGGTATTTCGGGGGCGGGACCTTCCGCCACCTAGGGCAGCAAAAAAGCTGGCGGTGCTCCTGCATATAAGTACTGTAGGGCAATCTCTTTATCATGAAAGTGCAACGTACAAATGTAGATTTTTTTTTTTTTTGGTTACGTAACAGCACTCAAAAACAAAACAATGGAAAACTTTAAAGACTACAAGTCCGCTCAGTTCTACTTCTTGTTCAGTCAATCACTAAGACAAATAAATTTGTTTACGTTTACAGGAGATAATGCTGCCCTCTTCTGATGGAAAATGTCACCAGAAAGTGAGAATATGGCACTGTTGTAGCCGCATTGCAAGATATTTACATGCCAGATATGCTAAACATTCATATGCCTCTTCATGCTTCAGCCACCATTCCAGAGGACATGCTTCCATGCTGTTCACGCTCATTAAAAACAATGTGTTAATTAAATTTGTGACTGAACTCCTTGGGGGAGAATTGTATGTCTTCTGCTCTGTTTTACCCGCATTCTGCCATATATTTCATGTTATAGCAGTCTCGGATGATGACCCAGCACATGTTCTTCATTTTAAGAACACTTTCACTGCAGATTTGACAAAACACAAAGAAGGTACCAATATGAGATTTCTAAAGATTGCTACAGCACTCGACCCAAGGTTTAAGAATCTGAAGTGCCTTCCAAAATCTGAGAGGGAGGAGGTGTGGAGCATGCTTTCAGAAGTCTTAAAAGAGCAACACTCTGATGCAGAAACTACACAACCCGAACCACCAAAAAAGAAAATCAACCTTCTGCTGGTGGCATCTGACTCAGATGATGAAAATGAACATGCATCGGTCTGTACTGCTTTGGATCATTATCAAGCAGAACCATCATCAGCATGGACACATGTCCCCTGGAATAGTGGTTGCAGCATTAAGAGACATATGAATCTTTAGTGCATCTGGCATCAAAATATCTTGCGACACCGGCTACAACAGTGCCATGAGAACACCTGTTGTCACTTTCAGGTGACTTTGTAAACAAGAAGAGGACAGCATTATCTCCTGAAAATGTAAACAAACTTGTTTGTCTGAGCGATTGGCTGAACAAGTAGGACTGAGTGGACTTGCAGGCTCTAAAATTTTACATTTGTTTTATTTTTGAATGCAGGTTTTTTTGTACATAATTCTACATTTGTAAATTCAAACTTCATGATAAAGAAATTGCACTAGGTGCATTGAAAAATACTATTTCTTTTGGTTTTTTTTTACAGTGAAAATACTTTAAATCAAAAATAAATATAAAGTGAGCAGTGTACACTTTGTATTCTGAGTTGTAATTGAAATCAATATATTTGAAAATGTAGAAAACATCCGAAAATATTTAAATAAATGGTATTCTATTATCAGCGATTGAAAATTAATCATAATTAATCACTTGACAGCCCTATAAATAATGAAATGCCACTTCAGTTGAAGAGTATAATTCATTTTCCCCACTACCATCCCAACAAGGAACCATCCCAACACAGACTGCTCTTGGGTTTTTTTGGTTTTCTTTGTCTGTTTCTTTTGTGAAAATAGACTTCATAATAGTGAATTTCCAGTAGAGCTGTCCAGAAAATGGAATTTCCATCCCTTGGGAAATTCATATATTTATATATTTCTTTTCATTCAGAAACAGGACAAAAAGATTAAATATCAATAATTTTCATGTAAGCAAAAGTTCCAAAAAGGTTCTATTCAGAAATGTTGGCATGATTTTTTTTGACATTTTTGACTGAAATTAAACATTTTGTTTTAATGTGTTAAAAATTTTGCCATTTCAGAATGGTGATTTGAAGCTAAATGTTTCATGTCTAACTTTCCCATTGAAAAATTGGGAAATTTCATTGAAATTGACATTTTCCTTGAAGGGGTGGGGAGGGCGGGGAAGCAATGTTGATAAAAATCACATATTTTATTGGGGAAATTTTTCTGTTAAAAAATTTCAACCAGCGTTAAGAATTTAATTAAGTAAATAATAAAATTAGACTTCAATTCAAGAGTATAATTTCCTGTCTTGGGCCTCAATTCTGCAAAGTAAGCACACGTTTAATTGCTTTGCAGAATTAGGTCCACACGTCATTAACTCTTTCAGTTCTCCAATTATGAATACAAATGTGACCTGGTGACAGACGCTGCTTCTTTTATCACTGTAGCTAATTCACTACTGTAGACATTTGTTTAATAATTGTAATTTCATACATATAGAATGCATAATTTGTAGTATACTGTAGTAAATGCTATTCAACATATTCACATCACTCCAGAACTCAGGTCTGGTTTGCTCAAAGTGGTGAAAGTTGGTTTATCTCCATGGTGTTCACTGCTACATCCTGAGTGATCTGTGGAACACTAATGATTCCAGGGTGGTGTGCAGGCAGCTACAATGAGGAGATTCAGAGAACACATACAACAAATCCTGCACGTTTGTCATAGCAAAAATGCAAAAGTCATCATTTCAATATGTGAACAATAAGTCATGGCACAACCATTTTTTGAAGCTATGTTATAATTCTTACATAATAGATTAAAACAATGTATTAAACCTATTCTGCACTGCACTGGACCTGTCAGTTTTGATCCAAAAGCCTTGTGAAGTAAATGGAAAGAGTCACACTGACCGCATATGGGCCCGATTGAAAGCGGGCTTAGGGATAGCCAGGTTTCTAAATTCATGGAAGAGTCTAACTCAGTAGCTGTCTGCCTGTTATGACAAAGAGCAGCCATTTGAGCAGAAAAGCAACTTTAAATATCTTGAATTTTGGCCGAGGGGTTATGGCCATTATCAACATACTGCCTCACTTACAGTCCTCCGAAGTGTGAATGAGGAAAGAGCCATGTGGGAGATGAGAACCAGTCTCTGTCACAGCACAGTAGGAAACTGCTGAGGATGTTGGTATAGTTTGCTCAGCTATTTTACTTCTGAAATTTCATAATCATCATCTTGTTCCTATGACAAATTAACAGCTGAGATATAACCCTACAGGAAGCAAACAGATCAGACTGGTGAATGGGGCAGATCACTGTGCCGGCAGGGTGGAAATTTATTACCAAGACACCTGGGGGACAGTCTGTGATGACTCCTGGGACCTATCGGATACCAATGTTGTTTGCAAAGAATTGGGATGCGGACACGCCATCAGCGCACCTGGCTCAGCTCATTATGGGCAAGGATCAGGGGAGATCTGGCTGGATGATGTGAACTGTTCTGGAACTGAAACCAACCTTTGGGCATGTCCTTCCAGGGGATGGGGTCAGCACAGCTGCGGGCATCACGAAGATGCAGGAGTGCTCTGCTCAGGTTAGCTCTGTTTCTGCTCTATTTAACAGAGAATTATGAACGCACCAATCACGGTTTCATAGTTAAGGTTGAATTCTGTTTTGCACTTAAAGCAGGCATTCAACCTCTTTGTTATGTAAAAACCCTACATCACACCCTCCCCAGAGTTACTACATTTATTCTATGAGTATAGACTTAATTTTCTGAGAATTCACAAGTAAATCCAGTTTTTGAGTTAAAATATCCATTTTGAATTAAGTACTCATTTAAAAAAATGTCTGTCTTTCTTTTGTCCCAAATGATTTTAATAATGGAATAAAACAGATTCTTCAAACTCTCCATACTGTTAAAATTTATTAAAATTTTGTGCATATGCTATATTTCAAGAAATTAGGTTATAATTAATCTAAGTTATTAATGTTTCTTGTATCTAACTGTTATGAATATATATGCTACAGATAGGCTCAGATCAACAGCTCATGTAATTCTTTATTGGAATCATGGCAGCATCAGTGATGACTCAATCAGTCACCGCTCTGCTTATATACTTAAACTGCATGCAATAATTCTGCTGGTTGTAGATGAGTCATTGATATAAGGTAAAATGGGCACACGTTTCAAGAGTTCCCAGTGGTACATTACTTGACTACAACTGTCAGTGCTCTTTAAAGATTTGGTTACACATGCTCTGATCTATGCTTGAAAGGCTTCCCATGGCATTGCTACCATGGACCCACTGCACACTATTATCAACACTGCCAAGAGAAATGAGGAAGGAGCATAGATCCCTTAAAGTACAGTGATATTGGGGCCCATGGACTCCCTTCATGTAGAACCAATTTCCAAAACATACGCTTTGGACTAATAAGTCAGTTGGAAAATAGAGTCCAGATTCACTAGTACACTTTGGCTTCTTTGTCCTGCTCTTGAGGTACAAAGCAGCTGTAAATCTAGCTTCACTGCCCTGACTGCTTTTACTAGTCTGGGGTACCAGTGAATCTGCCTTTAAAAGTAGTAATAAACAATTATTTAAAGTTGATATTATAAATCTTCAAATCATTACATATACTGAATGGTAGCATTCTCTTGTTTCATATTCTTGTATGAAATGTTTAATAAATAACAGTATTTTTCAAAGGAAATTCCAAGAAAAAAGAAAATCATAGCACTGGAAAGGACCTCGAGGGGCCATCAAGTCCAGTCCCCTGCACTCATGGCAGGACCAAGCACCATCTAGATCAGGGGTGGCCAACCTGTGACTCCGGAGCCACATGCAGCTCTTCATAAGTTAATATGCGTCTCCTTGTTTAGGCACTGACTATGGGGCTGGAGTTACAGGCGCCAACTTTTCAATGTGCCGGGGGGTGCTCACTGCTCAACCCCTGGCTCTGCCCCCACTCCTCCCCTTCCCACCCCCTCCCCTGAGCCTGCAGTGCCCTTGCTCCTCCTTCCCCCCCCCCCCACCTCCTGCATGCCAAGAAACAGCTGATCGGGAAGTGTGGGGGGGGGAGGTGCTGATCGGTGAGGCTGCTGGTGGGTGGGAGGCGCTGGGAGTGGGATGGGGTGGAGCTGATGGGGGGCTGCTGACTTATTACTGTGGCTCTTTGGCAATGTACATTAGTAAATTCTGGCTCCTTCTCAGTCTCAGGTTGGCCACCCCTGATCTAGACCATCCCTGACAGGTGTTTATCCAACCTGCTCTTAAAAATCTCCAAAGATGGAGATTCCACAACCTCCCTAGGCAATTTATTCCAGTGCCTAACCACCTTGACAGTTAGGAAGCTTTTCCTAATGTCCAACCTAAGCCTGCCTTGCTGCAATTTAAGCCCATTGCTTCTTGTCCTATCGTCAGAGGTTAAGGAGAATAATTTTTCTCCCTCTTCCTTGTAACAAACTTTTAGGTACTTTAAAACGGTTAACATGTTCCCTCTTAGCCTTCTCTTTTCCAGACTAAACAAATCCAGTTTTTTCAATCTTCCCTCATAGGTCATGTTTTCCAGACACCTAATCATCCTTGTTGCTCTTCTCTGGACTTTCTCCAAGTTGTCCAAATCTTTCTTGAAATATGGTGCCCAGAACTGGACACAATAGGCCAGTTGAGGCCTAATCAGCACAGAATAGTGTGGAAGAATTACTTCTTGTGTCTTGCTTTCAACACTCCTACTAATACATCCCAGAAAGATGTTTGCTTTTTTTGCAACAGTGTTATATTGTTGACTCATATTTAGCTTGTGGTCCAATATGACCCCTAGATCCCTTTCCTCAGTGCTCCTTCCTAGGCAGTCATTTCCCAGTTTGTATGGTGTGCAACTGATTGTTCCTTTTAAGTGGAGTACTTTGCATTTGTCCTTATTGAATTTCATCCTATTTACTTCAGACCATTTCTCCAGTTTGTCCAGATCATTTTTAATTTTCATCCTATCCTCCAAAGCACTTGCAGCCCCTCCCACCTTGGTATTATCTGCAAACTTTATAAGGGTACTCTCTATGCCATGATCTAAATCATTGATGAAGACATTGAAAAGAATCGGACCCAGAACTGATCCCTGTGGAACCCCACTCATTATGCCCTTCCAGCCTGACTGTGAACCATTGATAACTACTCTCTGGGAACAGTTATCCAACCAGTTATGCACCCACCTTATAGTAGCTCCATCTAGGTTGTATTTCCCTAGTTTCTTAATGAGAAGGTCATGCGAGACTGTATCAAAAGCCGTACTAAAATCTAGATATACCACATCTACCACTTCCTCCCTATCCACAAGGCTTGTTACCCTGTCAAAGAAAGCTATCAGGTTGATTTGACATGATTTCTTCTTGACAAATCCATGCTGACTATTACTTATCACCTTATTATCTTCTAGATGTTTGCAAATTAATTCCTTAATGATTTGCTCCATTATCTTACCTGGTACAGAAGTTAAGCTGACTGGTCTGTAATTTCCTGGGTTGCCCTTATTATAGCTAGGCACTATATGTGCCCTTTTCCAGTCTTCTGGGATCTCACCCATCTTTCATGACTTTTCAGAGATAATGGCTCAGATCTCCTCAGTCAGCTCCCTGAGTATTCTAGGATGCATTTCATCAGGCCCTGGTGACTTGAAGACATCTAACTTGTCTAAGTAATTTTTAACTTGTTCTTTCCCTATTTTAGCTTCTGAACCTACCTCATCTTCACTGTTTAAGCAGAGTTCAGGTTGAGAGTACATATCAGTAAATTAAACGTAAAAAATGTAATTATCACAAACTTAAGCATTTCAAACCCAGGAACTTCAGAATTAAGGTTACATAAGGAATCTAAATTTGATAAGGTGTGGTAATGCAGAGTTAAGACATCCAACCAACCATCATTTCTGTATACCATTAGCTGTATGGGTTTCTAAACAAAAGTGCATTCTTAGACTTCTCATTTTTATGTTTCTGTCTCTATTGTAAAAGTATTAAAAAGATGATACAAATGGAGAATGTACCTGCTTACACATGTCCAAAACAGTGTAAATACAGACTCAAAAATTTAATAAAAATTCCAAGATAGGCTGCTGGTTGCAAATTAAAAAAAAAAAAAAAAAGCTCTCTCCAGAAAATACCAATTTGTTGAAACTGAAACTGGTTGTGGAAAAATAGCAGTTTCAACTAAATGATTTCTCCAGTCCATAATGGATTTCTGTGCAGAGAGAGTGCACTCGCCCCAGAATTTCCAATAGCCTGATTCAGACAAAGGACTTGGACCACAGTCACCCACATCCCAGGTACATGCCCTAATCACCTTGTTACTGGTTTTTTTCATCTCTCCTGTTGGAGCTTTGCCACTTTCTATTAAATAATGAAATATTTATTGGACAAGAGACTTGAACCTGGACCACCAACATGCCCAGTGGGCACCCAAACGATCAGGCTATTGGCTGTTCTGGGGCGATTTTCTCTCTCATGCTCGCTCTGATTTTTCATGAAAAACTTCAAAAGGTTTCAGTTTCATCCCAACACAGAATAGGAAAATTTTCAAAATCTTGAAATATTTTGTGAAAAATGGTTTCCTGCTCACACCTATTACTGAGCCAACAGAATGCAAATAATAAAAAAGCTCCCCTATTAACTTCCCCACCAAGAGTGTCTCCATTTTCTTTTTTTTTTTTTTTAAGAAACACCATGATAGTGATGTTCTAGTAACAGTTGTTTAAGAATAGGGCATAAATGTGTCAGTAATTCATAGATTCATAGATTCTAGGACTGGAAGGGACCTCGAGCGGTCATCGAGTCCAGTCCCCTGCCCGCATGGCAGGACCAAATACTGTCTAGACCATCCCTGATAGACATTTATCTAACCTACTCTTAAATATCTCCAGAGAT